GAGGCATGGAATGGAGGAGGGAAGCAAGTGGAGCACATCAGAGGGTGATGATGCCAGAGGGAGAAGAAGGAAAAAAGAAAACAGGGAATGCTCATTATTCAGTACATTTCCTGTGAGTTTTAACTTATCCTTGTCCCATGTTTCAAATAATGTTGAGCAGTGGGCACAAGTATGAATCAGTCTTCCAGAATGTGATTTCAGTTGTTACCTGTTACACGTTTCTCACACTTCTGGAGAGAGGCTTGGGCATTTGCCTCTGGCTGTGAATCATGTGAAATTGCTGGCAGTTTAGAGCAAGTGTCTAGACTACAAAAGTTTCTATGGTATTCATTCTAATTAACTGTAAGGAGTGGGAAATGAGGCTTCATAATGAATACATGGTAAATCCCATTCTTTCACTATGTGGCATAAATGGAGTGAAGATCATAGAATCATAGAAATGTTTTGGTTGGAAAAGACCTTTGAGATCACTGAGTCCAACCGTACCTGTCCACTACTAAACCATATCTCTGAGCAGCTCATCTACCTGTCTTTTAAACACCTCCAGGGATGGGGACTCCACCACTGTCCTGGACAACCCCTTACAGTGTCTGATGACCCTTTCAGTGAAGAAATTTTTCCAGACTAATTAATAGCAAAGCTGGGGAGATGAGATGATGTGGCCTTAGGCTAAATGCAATGCTGATGAATTTCAGTATCAGGGCAGTCAGTATTTAAATGGTCAATCTGGGTGGTTCCAAGGGGTTTTCTGGGGAGAGCTTTATGATCTCAGGGTTCGGGGTTAATAATAAATAAACATGAATTTTTGATGAACTGCATTTGAGGAGAAACTGTTTTGCTAATGAAACTATAAACTGAGAAGCAGGGGGATGTATGTTTGTAGCGTTCTGGGGAATGTGAAGGACAATTAGAGTACAAGTGAATGTAACTCATTCCTTTGCTATAGTGACTTTAAAATGCTAGAGTTTTTCAAATATGTCCTGTTACTATCCAGCAGGCAAAAAACCTTGTATATGTAACCAATTATTAGTTTGTCCAGGTACCACGTTGAGAGGTTTTTTTAAGAAAGAACCATGAAATCAAAGTCTTAGCAGAGAGTACAAGTGAATGTAACTCATTCCTTTGCTATAGTGACTTTAAAATGCTAGAGTTTTTCAAATATGTCCTGTTACTATCCAGCAGGCAAAAAACCTTGTATATGTAACCAATTATTAGTTTGTCCAGGTACCACGTTGAGAGGTTTTTTAAGAAAGAACCATGAAATCAAAGTCTTAGCAGGTGATACTATTTTACAACATTAGATTCTTATGAAACTACTGATTTTACCATAGAATCATAGAATGGTTTGGGTTGAAAGGGACCTTAAAGGTCATCCAGTTCCAATGCCCCTGCCATGAGCAGGGACACCTACCACTAGACCAGGTTGCTCAAAGCCTCATCCAACATGGCCTTGAACACTTCCAAGAGTTTTCTTGTTGTTTGTTTTAACTAAGTTTCAGTAACAATATCCTGTATGTTATGGATGAATGATCTGATCTTTTGAAAGTAGTTTTTGTAGTTGGACACACTTTTGAACCAGAAAATATCAAGAAATGTGACTTCTGACTGCAGAAGTTTGATTAATAATTGACAACTTGGCTTAGATGCAGCTAGATAATGAAGTCAAGTACTTAAAAGCTGCCAGACAATGTTGAATTTGCAAGGTTCACAGTACCATTTACACCGTGTTCAGTGTGCATGAATATTTACAAAAGCTTTGTGAAAGCAATGTTTGTCTTGTAATATGAAAGAGAAAACTGGAAAAGAATTAATGACCTGGCTACTGTAGCAAAAGTCCAGGTTTTCATGATAAAAGCTTTCTGATGTTACAGACACCCTTTCTGAAATTACATAAGGAAAATGGAACAAAGTCACTTGGACAGGAATAAGAGTATTTCAATAACACTGAAAATTATGTTGTTAGAAATAGCACTGTGTGGATTTAAATTCATAGCCAAGTACGTGAAAATCTTCTTCTGTGTGGAAAAGTTCCAATTTTCCAAATGAAAAATTACATGGGAAAAAATAGACTTTTGTTACTGAAAATAATATTATATGGTCTTGAATTAACTGAAAATTAGTTAATTATAACACGCCTGAGTCTTAAACCTGGTCTTCAACAATTGTAAAGTCATTATTAGTAGTATTTTGTAAATGTTTTAAAGATGTTGACTATATTTTTTTTTTTACATATAGTTGGCTAAATTCATGTCTGATATAGGTCCACTGGTTTGGCTCAGTCATAACTGTTTGCAGCCTGATCCTACACTGGTTTTTACTGAAGTTAATGCTGGAATGAGCTTGGACCACTGCCATGAAGTGTCAGGGTCTCTCTCCAGTGGTCTATGTGCCATGTGTAACATTTTGATAAGCGCCAGCCTGACTAGGAGTATGAAGCAAACCAGTGGAACTTGTATATCCATCTTATTTAAGTTTGTAGATCTTATCTAGAAGTTTAAACATATTTTATGATGTATGGGGGAGTTGCTGACAACAAGGCTCAGGTTGTTCTTTGAGAGCCGTGGGAACAACACCTTTCCCTGCAGATAACAGATCGTGTCTGTGCGGGATGTTCAGGGGCTCTTTTCTACAGAGATGATCTAACGTTAAGGACAGGTGGTGTGGAGAAACAGATAATCTTACGTTCTTTTTGGTCTTTATCAAGTAGTCTCATTTGGTCTAAATCGGGCTTTAAGGCTATTGTTTGCTCTAATGCAATTACACATGTTTTTTTTACTCAGACTCCAGCGAACCAGGCTTTGGCAGCAAGACCAGATAAGCTTTCTATAGGTTTTTAAAAGTGAATTGCATTGTGCTGGTCCCTGGGAAAGTGTCTTCCTTGAAAATGTTTAATCCACCATCCCTCCTCATCATTTGCAGATGAAACTATCCATGGCATACACTGATGGTTAGTCAATTTGTGTCTTACCTAAGAAAGCTTTTTTTTTTTTTGCCTTGTGCATAATGTAGTGTATTTAGAGATGTCTTTTTCATTTATGGTGTCGGAAGTAAACCATAAATCTATGATATCACTCTGTCTTTTTAGTATTTCAATAACACGAGCATAGTAATTTCAGTTAAAGGTCTTTCTGGATAGTAAAAATGGGGGGAAGAATTGTGTAAGCGTGTAGATCTTGAGAGCAGTTGTGAACTATTGAAAATAATAAAATTGTTGCAAAAATCATTTTGGGTGAAGAAGTTTTGCCTCATATCCAAACTAAACCTCCCCTGGTGCAACTTGAGGCCATTTCCTCTTGTCCTGTCACTTGTTACCTGGGAGAAGAGACCCACCCCCACCTCTCTACCCCCTCCTTTCAGGGAGTTGTAGAAAGCAAGAAGGTCTCCCCTCAGCCTCCTTTTCTCCTTGTACAGAACAGTTAAGACAGACTCATCAGCTTTGCATGATAATTGAGCTGTGCAGAGTGTGCCAGAAGTACAATTAATTAAGAGAACACCCTACACAGAGGAATGATACAACTGAAAACCTCAGGAGAGCTGGAACTTCTGGGAAATCTGGAATGCAGTTGGAGCAGGCTCAACCTGTTGTTTTATTGTGTATCTGCAAAAGGATGTTACTGGTACAATAGTGTTGTAGGTGGTGAGTCAGAGTGAGTTATGCACTTCACTTGTAAAAGAGAAGTAATAGTATATTTATTGATATAAAATAGTGAATTAACAGAGTTCAAAGGTTAATGTGACATTCATTTAACAGGATTCAATGGCGAGATTCCCTTGCTTATTTTCTGCATAGAGGACAGGGTGAGACAAAACTGTCAAGGAGACCCTCCCATTGAGTCCCAAGGTTTCAGAAAGGACCCTCTTGCTTTCTAAACTCCTTCTCAGAGAGGAGTCTAGGTGTGGCTAGATCCAATCCTAGTCCCAGACTTGGTCAATGGTTTATATCTAAAGGAATTGTATGTATATGTGCACAATCAATTCTTTATATCATTTTGCTCAGATTTTTGCAGTTTAGCAGCTATTAGTCACTTGCCAAGGATCTTTTGCGGCAAGGAAAGGTGTCACATCATCATCCAGGTGGAGAATGGAGTCTGTGTCTCAGGGCAGAAAACTCCCAGTGAATTTTTGAGAGTACTTGTAAGCGTAGGATAGGGACAATCTCTTTTAGTTGGTAGTGGAGTCACTTTCCCTGGTGGTATTTAAAAGATGGGTAGACAAGGTGCTTAGGGACATGGTTTAGAGGTGGAATTGGCAGTGTTTGGTTTATGGTTGGACTCAATGATCTTAAAGGTCTTTTCAACCACTATGATTCTGTGATCTTAGATAAACATTTTACACATCTTATGTAAATCTGTCCGTTCAGAAACTTCCTCCTGGATCCAGCTGCTCCATATTACACATTTCTGATTTATACTAGTATATGTTAAGACAAACAATCACTGTGCAACTGCTGGGAATTAGGTTAATTTAGATTATTTTGCTATAGGTTCTTGGCTTTTACAGACTTTTGATTGAGCTCTCAGCCAGGTTGCCTTCCAGACAATTGCCCGGGTGAGATTTTGGGGGCAGGTGTTAACTGTGGAAACCTACTTAGTATTAAACATACCTGTCTCATTGCTACCGACTTTGGAGACGATACTTTATTTTATTTTTTCTGATCCTTGTTCTTTACAAAAGACCTAATTGAAAATATCTGTCAAATCATGTCTCTGGTTTCCCTCTTCTGCCCCCCTCCCCATTAATTGGCCACGTATTGTGTTTGTGTGGGAAGGAAGGAGGCTCTATAGCAGTATGGCAATATTGTTGGGAAAAGAACATTAAAATGGATAAAGGGATTTCCTGGTGGTATAAATACCTGCACACGACCTCCCTGTGCTCTGGAGCCCTCCTGTATATGTATATGCAGGTAAAAAGCCTGGAATAGAGCTTGAGCTGCCGTTAATTGCACCGGATCTGTTCTGTTAGAAAACAGGGGCAAGTGGCTCTTTTCTCGGTCGGAGGGTATGACTTGCCAAGCGTTTGCTTCATCCGACACCTTTGTCTCCTTGAATTCTGACTCTTCTCCCTCTCTGCCTCTGATAATGCATCACAGCGCCGCAGAGTGCCTGCCGGTTTCTAACCATGCCACCAATGTGGTGTCTACAGGTACTTTTTAAAACTTTAAAAAAATACTTTCAGTAGTTCTCATCTGTAATTCTTTTGGATAATACGTGTTGGTCGAGTTCTGCGATATTTAAAGTGTTTGGTATCAGTCCTATGTGCGATTGGGACTACATGAAAGTAGAAGCATTTTCACAAAGCTCTACGTGATGAGTGGATCAGGAAAACCCCCAACTGTTTGTGTTTTAGCTAAATTTGTAGCTTTTTCTAAGTTTCTTCCAAGATTAGGCTCAAGTGTGCTACTAATGCATTAATTTAGAACAGGTTCAAACACCATCGCTGTTGTTACAACTGTAGTCCTCAATGGCAAGGAAAATTATAAATTAATTGAATGTAAAGTAATTGAAAGTTTATTATGTAAAGACAATTTAAAGTAACATAAACCCCTTTAAATAGGAAATGTTTTTAAAATAGTTCAAGTCTAAATGTCATTTGGGGAGCTTTGAAGAAGGAAAATTATTGTTTTACAAAGCATATCGCATACTGAGTCAAGACTAAGATTTAAGTGTGATGTTCAAAATTGGTCGTAGAATTCTCATTGGTATTTTTTAATTTTGTGTGTTTGTATATAATCCGATTAATTGCATTTAAATACTAGGACTATGTAATCACTGAACTATCTGAGACAATGACAGAAAAGAAAGTTTTCTTGCAACCTTAAACCTGCAGAAGTGGGATTCTGGAATACAGGAATTGTTGATGGAAAGATTTCAGGAACAGAAAAAGAAATTATTTTGATTTATTTTAAATCACATTAAGATAACAGTTTTATCTGGAGTTTTAACAAGAAACTAGACTTCTCCTGAAATGCATTGGCAATAAAACATTTTAATAAGAAGAAAAAGCATGTAAGTAATGAAAACTGAGCATTGGTCATGGATAGCAGGGTCTTATACATTAAGCAGGAAGCTCCAAATATCCTAATAGAGCTATTAGTTAGCAGTGGTAGTGGGGAATAAATGAATTTAAATTTTGTATGAGGCCAAATTTATATATCTGTATCATAGTAGTATTTTCTAGAATCATCTAATTCATAATAAAAAGTATATGGTTACAGCCAGCCGAAAGCATTTGCTGCTTCAGATCTGAGTTTTGATATTTTGTAGTTATGATGAGTAAAGGTTTACAAATTTCATATATAGATTCAGAAATTATATTAAACAATGCCATTCTGGTGAAAACATCGAAGGAGAATTTGTGCATAAAGTAGATGTGAAAGAATTTTGAATAATGACTGATGTTAAATATAAAATTGTAAAATACATGTAACAATTCTGCATCACAAAACAGAGGTGAATACAATTCTCTTCAAATACTACACCATGTAATGCAGCTGATGTTCTGCAGTATCCATAACACTTTAATTGTTATTATTTAATTTAAATAGCATCATCCTCACTATTTAATTTTAAATCCTTATCAGCAAATTGAAAATGCTATTTTTATGCATAAAATACATTATGGATTATGAAATAATAGAAAAAATACCCCACCAGTAAACACTTAGATCTTAACTTGATAGAAAAGTTGCATTGCTCTGATGCATATAGTATTATTAACACAATCTTTATTTTGCATTAATTTATGCTAGTATAAGCGTGACTGGCTTACTGATTTTTGTATCTGTGTAAGTTTATCTAAACAGGACATTTTACTGATATGATCACTTGTAAAAACTAGAGATTTTAATCCCTAATTAATTATATGGTTTGAACAACTGGAATGTGTACTTTAAAGTGCAGTTTTACATATCTGAATGTCCTCGAACATGAATTTTTAATATTATACTTTATAGCAGTTGTTAGAAGGGACACTTCTGTGCCTACTTATGCATCTATCACTTCTTACCTGGGAGAAGAGACCCACACCTGCCTCCCTACACCCTCCTTTCAGGGAGTTGTAGAGAGCAAGAAGGTCTCCCTTCAGCTTCCTTTTCTCCAGGCTAAACAACCCCAGTTCCCTCAACCACTCCTTGTAGGACTTGTTCTCCTGGCCCATAGTATTTCACTATTTATATTGACAGTCACATCTGGTGTGACCTGGCCAAGTGTCTGGACTTCCATCAGTTAACCTGATGGTTCTGGCCCAGAGTTAAATGCTTACTGAATGCAGGTGAAAACTGTGTAGAGGAGCACTGTCCGCCTCTGAACTTAAAGGCTGTGTCTTGAATCCTCACACATTTTCTTACCAGTCCCATCTGTTTTTTCTTTGATCCAAACATGATCTGCTTTGCCATGATGACTTCGGGAAACATTTTGGCAGGCCTTCATTACTCTGTGCCTTCCTGTCATTATGGAAATCAACCATCTACCTACGGGGTGATGGCAGGTAAGAGACATCACCTCAACTGGGTGAGCTATTCGCATGCTGATTTTGGTCAGTTTTCCCTTAGAATTACTGATTCAAGACAGTGGCTTAAAGAGGACAGAACTGGGGTTGAGGCACTAAAGGGGTTGGGAAATTAGATGTCAGTGCCCAGAAGTTCTCCAAACGTCTGCATATCTTGTGAAATCATCTGTATCTTATTTCTCTCTACAAGTCTGGGACAGTGCTGCTCTTTTTTGACTACCTATGCTCACTTCCTCTGGTAATCATCACTTTTTGAGATGCTGGGAGTAATGTACCTGACATACCTGTGTATTACCAGAACCTGGGGTGATGGACCGCTGACAGGAGCTATAAAATAAAATGGTGGCATAATGAAAGAATAGCTGAATTCAGCAGGCAGATCACACAAATTACTGTGGAATTTCATGCTCATGAATGTATGATAGCACCCTGCTTAGTTTTCCATGTCCCAGGCTGAATAAGAAAGAGGAACTGTTATTCCATTCAAGTTCAAGTAGCAGTCCATGAGATAATGCCATGAATCAAATTAACTCTATTCCTAGGAAATAATCAGGAGCCAGAGCTAATCCAAAATCAACCTCAGCATTTTATTTAACTTAAGAAAGAAGGAAATATAAAAGTCAGCATAGTTGAATATATTTGCATAGGGATTTTTAGGGACAGAGAGTAGATTTCCTTCATGGTGTGCAAATGTCCAAAGACTCCTATTCATTGTGCTGCAAATGTTCTAGGTATTGTCCAGATCCTCAGGAAAAATTAATAATATTAAACAAAAGGCATTGCTCAGAAGTTCCTTTTGTTTCATTCCAAATAAATACATCTTCATTTTTCTCCTTTAATTTTTTTTTTAACCCTTCCTTTTTTTTTAAAGGCATCAAACCTGCAACTCCAGAGATGCTGTCAGCAAGTCTCTCCCAGAGTCGCATCTTACAGACGTGCAGCATGCCACATCCCAACGTGGTAAATGGTGTCAGCACCTTGCAAAGCAAGTCCTTCTCTTTTTTTTTAATCTTTTCCTTTATTTTTTGAGATTTTTTTTTTCCCCCTGATTATCCTGTGAGAAGTGTATAAAATAGTCTGATGGGGTTAGAACCTGCAGAGTTGGTGAGACCAATTGGGGCGGTGAAGACAAGAGAAGTAAATGCAGGAAGGGGTGGGTTAATGAAGTTCTGAGTTCTGCTGCAAAGTTTTGTGTGAGTTGGAAAATCGGGAAGGATGTCCTGAGAACCTGGAATTTACTGGCTGCTTCAGATATACTGAATAGTGTTAATATTTCTCCAATGATTTTTTTTCCCCTCCCTTCAGGTCAGAGATTCCTTAACTTTATATATAATATCTAGAGAAAAACCAGCCTTCATCCTTAACTAAATCTTCTTGTTAAGTCTGATATTTATGAACAAAAGGTAGCATCAGATGGTTTTGTTTTAGGCTTGAGCAATTTCTTTTTAAACCAGAATAGTTATTCTGAAATTGTTGTGGTTGTTTTTTGTGTTTTTTTTGTTGTTTTTTTTTTTTTTTTCTTTGAGGTCTTGTGTACTTCCCTTAAACAAATCTTATGCTAAAGTTAAACCACAGTGGTATTGTGTCTGGGCATCAAATGGTATTTACATGGAAACATGCTTTGAACCAGAAAATAAAGACATTTTAGATTATTCAGAATTATATAGATCCATTAATCCTGTTGTGCCACTTAATTCCAGCCAAGGTCCTGGATTGCTTAGATTTGGACCATTTACCATCTTAAATATTTAAGTTCATTAATTTGCTATGAAAAAGGATGGCTATAGCCTGTGAAATCATTTGTTTTTCATGTACAAGGACAAGAGAGAGACCCTATCTCCTAGGAGATCCTCAGTCTTGGATACTTTTGCATCATAATTTTTTTAAAAAAATAAATGTATAAATTTAAAAAATTAAGAATAATTTTTACAGATATCAATTCTGAGATGATGAAGGCACGTTTTATTGTGTAGCAGTAGAGAATAACTATACTGAGGGAGTTTGTTGTTGTTGCTCAGGTAGCCTGACCCCTTGCCTTTACAAATTCCCGGAGCACGCCCTGAGCGCCAGCTCCTGCGCCCTGGGCCACGGCTTCACGTCCATGCACCAGTCCCTCCTCGCAGATGATCCCACCACCACAGACTTCAAGCAGGAGTTCCGCAGAAAAAGCAAGTCTGTCGAAGAGCCCGTTGACATGGACTCCCCAGAAATCAGGGAACTGGAGAAATTTGCTAATGAATTCAAGCTGCGGAGAATTAAGCTGGGTATGTGCTTTATGTCCTGAAACAAATGGCTGAAAAATTCCAATGGAAGTCCAATTATTTTGAATGTTTTATGGTCTGGCCTCTCTGCAGCTGTCTAATCATAACTCTAATCCTGCCTTGCATTGCCAAACTTTCTCTGTTCCTGGAAGAATTGCACAGAATTCATGAACTTCAACTTTTTGCAATTTATTACACAGAAAGTGACTTTAAACTTTCTTGCTTTTAAATTATTTCTCTTAAGTGTGGAGAAAATTATTGCCATTCATTAAATTACATTCAGTAGCAGGTGTATTATTTTGCACAGCCCCAAATTTTCTGAGACCTAGGGCAGTGAAGGGCTAAGTGTCCTAAGGGAAGTAACTCTTTCTAGAAAGCTCCAAAGTGACTTTTTTCCTCTTTGTTTTTGACAGGTTATACACAAACCAATGTTGGAGAAGCACTGGCTGCTGTGCATGGCTCTGAGTTCAGCCAAACTACTATTTGCAGGTTTGAAAACTTGCAGTTGAGTTTCAAGAACGCGTGCAAATTGAAATCAATACTGTCCAAGTGGCTGGAGGAAGCAGAACAAGTAGGAGGTAGAGAACTGAAATCCTCTAAATATCTATTTGCACTTAAACCAGACTCCTAGACATATGTTGAAGGACTAGTATGTGTCTTCTGTAGACTGAAGTTTTTGTCTTGCTAGCTGTAAATGCTAAAGTATGGTTATATTAAATTTTGGTTATCTTTTTTGGGTGAGCAAGGACGGGGGAAAACTGGAATGCATGGAGACTGCAGAATAGCAGAACCAACACTTTGACTACAGGCAAAGTAGCACAGGTCAGAGCTGGTTTTAGGATGTGCAGGACAGTCCACAGAGCAGAGTACGGGGATTCTTCACTAGCAAAGGGCATCTCCTTCCAGCCTCTGACATAAGAGATGTGGCCATGGGGGACAGGGTTTGAGTTCAGCTGAGGCAGTGGTCTTTAAACCTTGAAGAATAGCATAGCATAGAGGTTTTTGATGCAACTTTTCTGCTGCTATGGGTTTCCTTTCCTTTTACCCAGTTACTTTCCAGATGGAGGAGGAGTCACGGGGTTCACTGGGCAAAGTGTACTTTAGGACAGTGTCCTGGTTTTTAGCTGGGCCAGAGCTGGTTTCTGTTCAGCAGCTAGAACAGCGCTCGGTTTTGGGTTCAGCTGGGATTTGTTAGGAGAGAAACACTGAGAACATCCCAGTGTTTGCATTTGTGTCCCTGGCAGTGAAGGACTTTGTGTTTTATCCATCTGCAAATGCAAGATCTCAGAGGGTGGGCAGTAGATCCATGAGGGGCTCTTCCTCTCTTGCTCTCTCTGGCTTTCGCTCGGGCTCTGGCTCTCCCGGGATTGCGGTTTCGGTTTGGGATTGTCGCTCCTCTGGGATCATGATCTGGGAACGGGGCAGGCTTGGTTGGTGGGTGCTGAGCAATGGCACTGGGCATCACTCATTTGAGTATTTTACTACTATTATTATCATCATTACTATTTTAACATCAGTATTATTTGAAGTTTTTTTAATGTCAATGATTAAATTGCTCTTATCTCACCCTATGAGTCTCCTTACCCTTGCTTCCCAATTCTCTCCCCTGCCCCCTGTGGTAGGGAGGAGTGAGCGAGTGGCTGTGTTTTGCTGTTAGCCCAGTGCTGGCCCAGTGAAAACACCAAAACCAAGTTGGTTGATGTACAGGAAATGAATTGGTTTTAAGAACAGCCTTTTCAGCTGGAGGGATTGCGATGCTGGGAAGCGGTGTGCCTGGAGGTAACAGCAAAAGCCAAGACTACCACTATGCAGTACTCAGCTAGCACGGGAAGAAAGAGATGATGACCTTAATGTTATTTTTTTGGATTTGCCATTGCATTCAACAGTAGGAAACATTGTTAAACAGCTGCTCCTGCCACACACCTCCATTTCCTTTGAGCCCAGTGTAGAAAGTTTTGTTCACCTGTAACCGCGGGGTAGGATCACGTGTGCAGACAGTAGCCTCTGAGAAGTGAGAGGGGAATTTGTCCATCAAAGAGTAGCATCAAAGAGGCAGATGAATAAAAGGTGTTGAGACCCAAGGATGTATTTCTGAAGAGGATGAGCCAAGGGTTATGGAAATGGACTCCATCTCCCTAGACTGTGTCCTGCAGGGAAGGAGGAAGAAGGTAGGTAAAAGAAAGGGGCTGGAGGTAAAACAATGACCAACCATCTTCAAGAAAACTGTGCTCCTATGTGTGGTGCTGCTCTTATTCAGTGGCATTATCTGATGGCTTTCTTCTGTCTTCAAAGAAAGGGACTTTTTTCCTAGAGATAATTGTGCTTGTTTTCCATCCCCTGTGGAAGGTAACTGCTGGGTTTGGTTTTGTTTTGCTTTTAATGCAGCTTTATACAACGAAAAAGTTGGAGTGAACGAGCGGAAGAGGAAGCGCAGAACCACCATAAGGTAATAAATATTTAGAGCATTACATGTTACCCCTCTGGCTAAGATGCTTCTTTTTCTTGGGCTTGAAATCAAAGTGTTATTTTTCTGTTAATGAATCTCTATAGTTAGTGTTTCAAAATGTTTCACTATTCTGAAACTTCCAATGAAAAATAACAGCATAAACCTCCATAACCCAAATTTTCTCCAAATTTCTGCCATCTCCCAGAGACAGAGGCTGCTCTATTGCCCCACAACCTCAGAACCCCACAACCACAATGTGTACTTTTTCCTTTCATATTCAACTTGAGATTTCTTTTTTTGGGGGGGGAGTTATCTTGCTTTTGATACAAGAAATGAAATGAAGATGTGATTTCTTTCTGACTTTTGAAGTGAATCTCTGATGGGATGCTGCTCAATTATAGGACTGAGCTGGGGACAAGAGATGCTTCATAGCTAATTTGCTTGCCACAGCACCTCACCAAGGATGAAGCTTTACTCTTGGGAGGCCACTTTCTCCTCTCAGCTCCTCTCCAGACCTGTGAAGACTTGAGCAGCAGTGGCAAGACCTTGCCCAGTTTATGCAGTATGACCTGCATGAGAGCTCTTAGTTGAGATAATCTGTCCCAGATGTTTTCTCCTGGTTAGAGAAGCCCACTGAAGACTGCTCATCCAACATTGTGGGTTTTGGTGATGGTTTTTAATTGCTGTTGAGGAAATAAGTCCTCATATTAAACCTTTTTTTTAATGATTCCTGTTTTTACATCTAACTCCACTGCACTGGGAGTATCTAACATGGCAGGTTGTCAAGGACACACATAACTGAGGGGAAGTTCAGGACCAAATCTCATATATTAAGAAAATATTAATTGTTCCTTTGAAGTCATACAGGACCTCAGTTTGAAGACCTCAAACTAATTAGGGAGCTGGACCTTATCTGAACTGCAGCCTTACTCTTAGCAATTCTTAATGGATGCTTGAAGGTAAACTAGATGTAAAACAAAAATCCCACTAACTTAGTTAAGATAATCATACCCTGAGCAAAAAAATACTTAATTTGAATTTGTGAAAACTATTTTCTTTTCTACGTTGATCAGAAATCCTAAGAAAATTTTGGTCAAAACCAGCGATGTTTCTATACCTGCAGAACACCGTGCTACTAATTAGGTAGTTTTTGGTAACGTTACTAAATATTGCGAAACAGACCTATAAATGAAAGACCAGCAACATGTTACAGAGGAAATAATGAAGTAATTTGAATTCTAGCAGATACTTTGTGTGTTTCTGTAACAGAAATAGCTGCACCTCGTTTCCAGAATAATGCATCAAGTGCCCTCTTGTGTC